GCGACTCTCTGGCCCTGATACACAGCTAGCTCCCCATTGAGGCTCTAGCCCCAGGACTGCATTTCACGGCGTCACGGATTTCAAAAAAGTATTGGTCCTCTTTGGGTATTGTCTCTTAATTGGACTGTGGGCACCGCAAGTCCGGCGTTTTGGATACAGGCTGGTGTTGCGAGACACTTTCTTACTCGTGCCACTCGTCAGCTTTCTTACTACATGGATACCACGCTCTCCTAATCTTGTCGCGCCATGCGCCGACGGCGAACCGCACCGGTTCTCTCTTCCTATCTTGTCATTGTTATCACTATATTTCTGTCTGCAGTCTCTGGCGCTCCGCGACGTTGACACGAGGGGAAACGGCCAGTATACGAGCAAGTCAATCAAACCCTGGGCACCCGAGATGGGCACCTCGTCCTCTCTCGGATTGCCATAATTCATCTGTTGAGCCCATTCTTCTATTGCGCCGCCTCCGCGGATCTCGAGACCGTCGCGGCCCAATCAATCTGCGCTGATCTGCGGTACAGTATCACGCATGAGGAACATATGCAATGCCGTTTTTCGCCAATCGCCCTGGCTTACGGCCTCTGCGATGCCATCAATCACATTTCATGTAGCTCTCGAACCACGTCGGCGAGTTGCGCCAATCACGCGAGCCGCCTATTTGAGCTGTATATTGGGTCTGACTCCCTTGTATACCAGCCCTGCACTAATACCCAGGTAAACGAGACGACATGGTCAAGGCACCGTCTATTCTAAGCCCGTGATAGGATGCCATCAATCAAGCTCCAGTCTTGTCATGCAGCACATGCTAGCATGTGCACCGGGCACAAGTCTCAACCTGGGAACAGGAGTGGCGTCGTCGTATGATGCTCAAAATATGGCTGTCTTATCACACCTCCGATCATGCTGAGGGACGGGCCGTAGCATGTTCAACGCCGTAAGCTTAGAGGCGTCTCTCCTAGCCATGCTGCCACATGTATCTCAGCCTCCATGGCCGCCTGAAAACGCTCGCGGTAAACCCAATCCAAGTGAGCGCAGTGCTTTCATGCGACCAACGACAAAGCCGCGGCCTGTGCAGACATGTATCCTGATCGCCAAATAACCGAGACTCTTGTATATTGGCACCTGATATGCGTCAAGCTCCGCACTGGTCATCTGCAGCCAACCGGGTAACGCGTCTTCTAGAAGGCATTCAGCCTGACCACCTTGACGGTTCAACCGAAGACTGAGCCACGTAGACGCAGCAATAGCGTCCTTTGTCATGCGTGTGATTGTGCACCGGCCCCATCAGGCTTTGCTCGCCACGCTGTTGAAGCTAGTATGGGTGATTGTATGCACACTCGAGAGCGCCGTGGCCCTTCTGAATTGGCATGTTCAGTCTAATTTAATCCCCTGTGGTGGGTGTTTTGCATGTACCAGTGCCGACCCTTGTGACGACCACTCTATCCCTTGCTCTTGATTCCGCGAGACATCACATGGTCGATCTGCAGCAAGGCGCTTGTACTAGTACGTGCAGCGACGCAAAGCGGCTCCTTTCGCTTCATCAATTAGACGACCTTCTCTCGAGTGCAGTCGCATCCTGTGCCAACTTGAGACATCACCGGCAGCGGGTCTCGCTATGAAGTGTTGAGTCTAGTCGGCTCGGGGTCGGAGGAGTGACAGGGTGGTGATGCAGACGCGAATAGCTCATCACATCCGCACGTTTCGTGAAGAAATGAGATGCGCAAGCGATGACTTCGTCAGGATGATGAGTGGTTCGACGGCTCGGCGTCGTTTGTGCGCTCGGCCCGGTAGTCGCTTCCTCATTCGGCCTCGGCAGCCGCGAGTTTCAATGTTCTGTCGTCAACCCCAACCTCCACTCCGCAGCCATGTCGATTGATATCAACTGGGACACCATCACAGGCGGTGCAGAAGGCTCCGCGCGTGCTGAGACAATACGCGCCTTCATTCACGACCGGTTCCAGCAGGTCACACTGCCACGCTTCATTCGCTCAGTTCACGTGCACTCATTCGACTTCGGCAGCGTACCCCCGGAGATTGAGATTAAAGACATATGCGACCCACTACCTGACTTTTACGAGGATGATGAGGACTACCCAGACGAACAAGGGGATGGGCCAGAGGAAGGCGACACGCAGCATGACGCCAAGTCACGCGACTCCAGCAACCCACCCAGTCGTTCACGAAGGGATAGCCATTCTAGGGAACGAGGCCGAGAGGTAGACTTGGAGGAACACACTCCCATTCAGACCAGATTACGCCCTTTTCAACCTCTTCCTCGGCCATCCACGAAACGCGCGTCATTGGCTCCCAACGAACTAGGCAGCCCATTCTTCCATGGAGCACTCACGCCAGGCATCCCTGGTGGCACCTCCAATATGAACTACTTCCATCTACCTTTGAGTGCAGGTCTCTCTGGCGCTACCACGCCTCTTGCTGCTGTAGCTGGTGCGCAATTGCATAATTGGCTCGAGAACCCTCACGGTCGGCCGACTACGCCAACAAATATGCGTCTGCGGAACGCAGCGTCCATGAACTCGCTAACCCTCACACCGCAATCTCATCCAGATCCAAGTTCAAGGCCTTCCTCAAGGCACCAACAGGATGAGGGGAAGAGGCCGTCCTTTGCCGGATCAGACGACGGTAATTCTCAGCATAGCTATGCGCGGACACCGTCTGCGTCTCCTCACCGCATGCGTGAGAAGAGTCCCGATGACATACAGGTTGTGACACATGTGCAATACTCCGGCGACATCAAAATGTCACTGACAGCGGAGATCCTGTTGGATTACCCGATGCCAAGCTTTGTCGGCATTCCTCTTAAGCTAAACATCACCGGACTCACCTTTGACGGTGTTGCGATATTGGCATACATCAAAAAGCGGGCCCATTTCTGCTTCTTGTCACCAGATGACGCAGATGCTCTAGTCGGCGGCGAGACCGGCTTCAACGGTCTTCAAACAGACGCACAAGGCCAAAACCCGCGGCCTGTGCAACGACCCAAGATCGGAGGTCTGCTGGAAAACATCAAAGTCGAAAGCGAGATAGGTGGCCAGGGCAGTGGAAAACAGGTCCTCAAGAATGTCGGGAAGGTGGAGTCTTTCGTGCTGGAGCAGGTCAGGCGCATCTTCGAAGATGAGTTTGTCTATCCAAGCTTCTGGACGTTCCTGGTTTAGAGCTCTGGAAGTCGCTCCGCGTGAAGAGCGATTGTATGTATAATTGCATGCGCTACATACACTACATGCACAGCCAGTCAGCCTCAGCAACGAAATGGCGATGTGACATTCCGCATCGGCGTTTTTCACCGCCAAAGGTGGATGGGATTCATTCTAGCACGGCATTTCACCTGTCCATTATGGACCTTAACACACGGCATGCATGCATACATCCTCGGGGTCACACAACAGCGATTTTCCCCACCAGAGTGACGAAACTAGTGTCTCACGGCAGCATAGAGCCTTGTAGCAAGCCTTTCCTTTGTGTTCACTACAAGGGTTATACGGCAGACGCTCCGAGAACGTGGGTTACTTGCTGTCACCATGGGCACCTGCAGAAGCGATGAGGGACAGCATTTTGACAGCTATGTTACTGACAGCGGGTGTGACGGAATCAGACCACATTGGTACCTCCAGAACAGGGACCAGAACAAATGAAGCACTCTTTTGAGCTGTTAGTGCTAGTGTAACCTGCCTGTCAAGATCACTACCCGTCGGCGTCGGCATCGGGCCCATACAGACAAGCCTCGCACCGCGGTTGTGTCCCGTCAACTAGCGCATTGCCCATCAACCTTGTTATCACGTGTGTTGATCATCGATGTCGCATCCTGTCCCTCGTTTCCCGCCATTCCCGCCTTCATTGCAATCACCCTGGCCGCATGCGCCCTTTGCTAGCATACAGGTATGCATGTCGCCAATGATACCCAGATACGATTTTGTGCATTCGACCTCACCGGTCGTTGAACCGCCTTTGTACCGACTGACCAGTGATATAGAAGCACGACAGACCAGACCCAACAGATTCTGTACAGAGTCTGCGATTCCCCCAGACGATCACATTGACGCAGCACCTTACTGCTAGAGTACTGCAACGGCCAATCCCAGTATGCCAACAATTCGCAATCTGGTAGCGCAATCTCACCACGTAAACTGAGATGAAATTCATGCCTCTCAACATCAAACACGAGCGCCTTCTAATGTTCTCAATCACATGCGACCTATTCTTGGACAATCATAAGATAGAGTTTCGATAACCCTTGGAATGGATGACAACCATGTCGCATGCTTTGCGCAATATTACCGTACCTTGTGCCGTTATTGTCACATATAGGCTCTTGGGGTCATAGTACCGGCTGTGAACCGGCAAGGATTGCGGCGCTATGGCGTGTCTTGCATGGCGGAAGTCGTGACCTCCGTCTAGGACTGCTTTAGCCAAGCAAGCAACGGGATGTTCCTGCAAGGTTGAATGGTTTTGTTCGACGATGATTGCTCGAATACGGCTGAACTACGATGATAAGACTACAGAGGTCGTACAAGAACATCCCGAAGCGGAATGCCCATGCAATAACAAAAATCACCTATATGTCCGCGTCTATGCATTCCTGAATGGACTTTGGAGCCCCGAGAGTTCACACTCCACAGGACTGGCATATAAATTCCTTTTGGAGGACGGCATTGAGGTCAATCTGTATACCGATACCACCATTGCTGATCGATCTACAGCCTGTTGCATTTGCTACTGTATGAAATTGTCGCAAGCTAACTATAGTGTCCATCACTAATCTGGTTGACATTCCGATCAGGCCTCCAGACTTTTGAAACTTGGATGATGTGCATGCACCGTGCCTGCTGGTCAAGCCTGCCGACAAGGCCGCGCTCAAGCGAGGCTGGCTGACTGAGCGCGAATGGGCCAATGACGCACACCATTCCCCACATCGCGACCCCGCGCGTCATGATCCAAAATGACGCAGGACGCGCCTGTGCGCCCTGACGCTACTCGATCCACTCATGAGGCTGCGAAACTTCGCGCGCCATGCTCGCGTCACCCGAAATGCGCGGCTGTCTTTGTTCAGCGACCGCAAACCCTACCAGTATGAGCGTCTGCCGTCGCCTACTTGTATACGCCTATTGGAGCTCCTACCAGTGACAAGCAACGGTATCATTCGCTGCTCGTTGAAGGTTACTGAGCTCGAAAATGCGCCTTCCTTCAAAGCTCTGTCATACACATGGGGTAGTCCGCAGGCCACTTCGATGTCAGGAACATCGAGACGCTATGAAGTAGGACTGAAACCTGCATCGGACGACGAAGTAGACTCGACCCGCCAGCACACCATCATATGCGATGGCTGTCTTCTCAAGGTCACCAGTAACCTTCGAGATGCACTGCAAATGCTCAGCAACGCTATCAACATGCCACACATGCCCAAAACCCCGACCTACTATTGGATAGACCTTTTGTGCATGAACCAAACAGATATTGAGGAGAGGAATGCTCAGGTTGCCCGTATGGGTGACGTTTTTAAGAAGGCCGATGGTGTTGTTGTCTGGCTAGGCAAAGAGGATCAGTACACGCTGGATGCTGTCACTACCATGCGGAAGATAGCGGCTATTCCCGAGAAACACTGGCCGCTAATACCTTACACATCCTTCTACAATCCCGAAGAGAGTCAGCTAGTATCCCCTACTGGTCTCACCTTCTACAACTGGCTAGGCTTCATTGTCCTCATCAACCGCCCATGGTTCAAGAGGGCTTGGGTGAGTTTGTAACGAATAGCTACATGCACAGCCGACGACTGATATCATCAGGTCGTTCAAGAGATCGCACTTGGTAAATCGGCTCTGGTAGTCTGTGGCAACAAGGTCTTTCCTTGGGAAATTCTATCCAAAACGCTGTCTTTTGTCAAGTTCACGAGGTGGTATCATCATCTCCATGCAGACAAACTAAAGCATGTAAAAGAGCTGCGGAAACATCCTGGCATCTACAAGCAAATCCTCAAGTCGAAGCTAGCCGTCGGCATCAGCCCTCTATATCTCAATGATACCCGGCTATTCGCATCGTCACTGATCAGAGACGACGGTCAAGCGACCAAACAACCGTCTTTCCGGAACCTTCTCGACAAGCACCGCTTTTCAGAATCTTCAGATCCCAGGGACAAGGTATACGCCTTTCTCGGCCTAGCCAACCGGGGTATGTCTCCATTTCGTACGCAGCCCAACGCGCTTACGCCGGATTACAATCTCAGTGTACAGGAGGTCTTCACCCAAACCACAGCAGTACTCATGTCGTCCTACAAGAACCTGTCATGGTTGTCGCACGTGGAAGACGCTTCACAAAGACGGATATCAGGGTTACCATCCTGGGTACCCGACTTGAGCGTGCCGCTTCAACCTTACCCGCTTCGCTATCGTGGTCCGGCATACTGGCATGCTGCTGGCAACCGCGCCTGGCGTCCGGATGTAGAAAGCATGAAAAAAGGACTTCTCCCGGTCCAAGGACATCGATTAGATCAGATTGACCAGACCTCTCTGCTTACTGATGAATCGGAAGACCCTCCGACGGTATGGGCAAGCATCGTGAATCTAGCTCTCGCACTTGACTCATCATACCCCGACCCAGGCGGCACTGGCAAGACACCATCGCGTATCGAAGTACTCTGGCGAACGCTAACCACCGATATCTACAACCACACATACCCCGCCCCAGTACAAACAGGCGAACTTTTCATTGATTACATCCTCAACCTCCAGATCCGGCATCGCTTGACTCCATGGTCCAGCGCCGACGATTTCCAGCCCCACCATTCGCCATTGACAGAGTCCGTCTATCCAGATTGGCGCAAACTCCTTGAGCTCGAACCACCGGACTCGCCGTACAGCTTCGACTCATATTCTAAGCGCTTAGTTGCCGTGGTGGAGAGTATGTTCAATGGTACATATTCGCCAATCGGGCTTGCGCAATTACAGCACGAGCTTGATCAAAGCGCAGGCCGGCAGCGAAGACTGTTCAAAACACGCGTAGGGTTTATGGGCACTGGAGCGAGGTCGCTGCGTGTAGGCGATGAGGTCTGGGTGCTGTATCGTGGTGGTCTTCCCTTTGTGCTGCGGCCTTTGCCTAATGGCCGTTATCGTCTTGTCGGGGAGTCATTTGTGTACGGGGTGATGCATGGGGAAGCTCTGATGATGGATCTTCGGCGACGGAATATCGTTCTTGAGTAGGATACTTGAGTCTGTCACAATGGAGACCAAAACGTTCAAGTACTCGACATGTTCACGTGCTATTCTCCGCCATGACAACAGCGCTTCTTTCTTTCTATTCCCGCTTTACTTCGCGTCATATATCCCATCGAATGCTACAACGACTACCGCTCCTCAGGAATAGTTCACTATACACACACAAAGTACTTCTCCTGCAACGCATCATGCAACCTTCCAAAAACACCTCCATGCCACGTCCTAAAATCATCCCATTCTTCAGCAGGCATACAAGAAGCCATCATATTCACCCATCCACCCACAATCAAATCCGCATAGTTCGCTTTTTCACCCTCCAAGAACGGCCCCTCTCCATGAACCATGAAAAGATCTGCCAGTCCCTTCAGCGCCGCCTTGAACGCCACCCTGAGCTGCTCCCTAGCCTCGCCCTGAATGCAGATACTGTCCCAAGAATCCAAGTGCGCACGTTTGCTCATCTGTGCCTTCACAGCATCTGCCGTCTCAGGATTAAAAGGCATATACTGAGCCACAAGCATCACATGAGCAGAAAACGTGGCGTCGACGTGGGTGTTGAACTTTGCATACGCCTTGTGTTTGGCCCCTTCGTTCAATGTGAGGGGAGCGTAGAACATCGTGTCTTTATTCGGACTCTCGTAGTCAAGTCCGATATGCGTGGAGTCTTTTGGAAACAGGCATCCGCCAGAGTCCGGAAACGTGTCGTCGAGGTAATTGGCGATGTCGAAACTATCTCCGATGACCTTGCCCACGGAAGGGTCTTGTAGCATGGGTAGGGTGTGGAAGTCGGACCCGTCGTCTAGCTTACGTGTGGCGGGACAGTTGAGGCCTTTGCGGACGGTGGGGATGTCGAGGATGTCAATCCAGGTTGTTTTGAAAGGTACGTTCTTGAAACTTAGGGCGAGGCGGGCTTTGGAGGGGTTGGGTGCAAAGGAGCGGGGCTGGATTGGGGAGGAGATGTCGTAGAAGATGAGGGGTTTGAGGTCTGTCATTGTGGCAGTTGTTGTTGGGATACGAGTACAGCTGCCTTTTCATGAGGGTAAGTGAGGGTGGAGATGTTGAGTCAGGGAGCTGTGATGTGGAAGAGATGCAGGTAGGCCATGCACGTAAGACTAATGGAGCTTGGCGGGTTGCGGGGCGACACGAGAAATAAGAATAGCAACGACATGTGTTCGTACGTGTTGCAAGAGTATACGATGGGTTTCGACAGGTCTCACGATGTTAGCTGGTGTCGACTGAGCTGGTGTTCCTGCCGGTATCTCAGACAGGGTAAGAGCGCACGGACCCGAAAGCAGCTGTTAGGAGCAAGATGGATATGGTTTCTGTGGAGCCGACTCTACCCCACGAGCTTAGACGCGTCTGCAGTCCATGAAGTTGATTTTACGACGGGGCGCTCATATTCGTTTGTTCGGCGTGTAGTGGCCGGTGTCAGCAGCATCGGGCAGGTTCACGCGTGTAGCGATGACTAACACAGCCATTGGCTGGCTCGGCACCAGCTCTTGTCATCGTCATAGGCCAGCCGAGTGCTCACACGCGCGATGGGTGTCGCATTCCATATCAAAGCAATGCGTGCACCGAATATATATATGCCACGGCCTTTCGACTAGCAGCAGACGAGAGAACCAAATGCACCATGACAGCCATACTGCGTGCAAGCGCCTTCGACTTGCTAGACGTCGAGCACGATGACGAGCTTCCCGGCTACGACGAGGCTATGCCAGCTCCTGCCTACGGCGCACACGACGGGCCTCTCGCTACCTACTGTCTGCGCCAGTATGATCGCAAGATACAAATGCTCGCTGCCTACGATGCGCCCGTCGCTCCCTCGTACCGGATCACAACCAACAGCTTCCGCGTCTTCTCCAAGAAGCCGGAGATGGAGGTGCTCCACACTTCGCAGGACATGCGACAGCGCATCATAGCTGCACTGTCCTATGACAACGACGGAGGCTTCCCCTGGCGGCCCCGCGCGCATTTCGATTACACCGTGGAGGATGGCTCGTGTACGCGGTACAAGATGGAATCGCCGAACTTCGAGGACTGGAGTTGCACCATCGACGACAAGACGTACGTCTGGGCACTCGACATGCGACCAATTGCATTGGTCCTGAGCGACAAGGACTCTGGCAAAGTCATTGCGCGCTTTACGTTCTCAGACAAGGGCGTGCTCGCCCTGAGAGGTGCAGAGGTTGGCGACTTGGCCATCTTCCGCGACGGACTGACGCTGGCGCCAGGCGGTATCGACAAGGTGGTCTGTGGTGTCATGATTGTCGTTACCTTCTTCAAAAGAATGGGTAGGAACTACACGAACCCGAAGACGGATGGATTGGGGCGGGTAGGGTCGGTGGCCAGAGAGATGCCGCTACCGTCGCTGCATCGGGGCTCGACAGCAGGCTACTCGAGTTTGGGCAACTGGGCAGGATAGCATGCATGTAGCTGAAGGTTGGATATTAGGTGGTGCAATGCAGATATTGGCTGACTGAAAGACGCGAAAGGTACCATGTTGCTGTGCTTATGCCACGCGTGGAAGGGCCGAGAAAGCACCTAGAGACGAGATGGGTGTCGATCTGGGGCATGGCCTACCAGAGCGTGGGTGACGGCGTCATGAGGCTAGAAAACGGCGTGACAGCGCTCGCGCACTACTCGAGACAGCGGCGCGGACCGGGTGACGACTGCTAGCAACCTCCTAACAGCCGTTGTAATGTTGATGTTTCGACGTGATGTTTTATTTCTTTGTGCCGGTGGCTGCATGCCAGTCGTGCCTCGGAGGCGACACAGGACGCTTAACCCCTATGCGCGCCCGACCCGGGCGAAGGTTCTGGATCGCACCGACTCGAGCCAATCTGCCGATCCAGTGAGCAGGTGGAGACGGGCCCGTCCAAGACGACAAGGCCATCCCCGCTTGCCAAGTGGCTCGAACGAGTGTTTGCTGGTGGAGAGGCAACGCTGCGAGGGCTTCCAAAACACCACATAGCAGACAGCGTGGTGACACCGAGTGTGGCTGACAGCATTGCGCGTCCAGACTTGACGCCTCTGTACAGCGTAATCTGCTCTGTCCATGCATTGCCTTGGGCCAGCTTGCAAACTGTGGCGAACCAAGCCTCCACCTGGGTCTGGAGCTATCAGCCCATGTTCAACGTTCGAGGCGTCTAGCCCAAAGGGACCAACGCCTAATCTCGCCCCGGGAGGCCCGCCCTCTGCCCTTTTCCACCACCGTGGACGCGACTGTGACCTGCACCGAGCCGCCGCCGCCGAGCTGCTCTTCCAGCTTCACACTCGTCGCCAGCGCCCGCCAGAGCACCCGCTCGTCCTCTCTTTTCGCCAGTCCGCTGCTCGCAATCGTTCGCCCGGGACCTGCGGCCAAAAGCAATATAATCCCTGCACCACCAGAGGCCGACGCACCTGTCGCGCTGCTTCGGGCCTAGCAGCCTTAGTCGTGCTTTCACTCCACCTCGCCTGCGTGCCTGCCCTGTGAGCCGCGCCCCAGATTAATCGAGATCCTGTACTGATCGTCGACGACACGCTTGGAAAACTCCGCCGCCGCCCGCTGCGAGGAATGGGATTCGCACATCTCCCTCTGTCTATCCACAACACCCGCCCTCGCGTCTGTCAGCTCGCCGGTACCGCTTGGACAGCTGAGTGAGATCCGCCCCGGCTGCGCATTCTCCCACTATTCCCGGGCTGCGTTGCTCCCCTCATAAGCACGTCAGTAGAATAGCCTGCGACTCTTCGCAGAGCCATGGTCAAGATGCGGATTCCCATCCGCGAACAGTTGGGATGTCTGGTTCTGCTGGCGTCCATGATCGGCCTGGCCGTCATAGCCGTCGCAACATGGGTACATATCGACGCTGCATACTCGTCCATGCTGGTACTGACTTTGCCAGCTCACCAACCACAACTTCGTGCTCAACATACGCTCGACTCGCCTGACGCTGACAGCCTCGCTCAAAGCCGCCCAACTCTCCTCGAATCTGAACTTGATGCAAATCCTGTCCCAGCAGGCTGCGAACCGCCTCTCCCCGCAGGCCGCCCTCGGCCGATACTACGACGGCAACACCTCAGAGACGAACTGGGCCCGAGTCGAAGAGGACTACGATGCCATCTTCTCTGGTGATATGAGAACCCGTGTGGCTGTCCAGGCCCAGATATACCCCTTCAATTCCTCCGAGCGCTCCGTCTTCAGCCGGACCGCACAAAGCATGACGGACGTTGTGCTGCCCATACTCAAACCCGACGGCACGAATGCGACGCTAGGCGACAAAGAGTACGGCTTCATTGACGACCTCTATCCCAAGTTCTCTGTCGAGACGATCCTATACAACGACACCTTCAACACCTACAAGGCACACTACCAAGGCAGGACCATTGACAACACGAGCTACCTCTTCTCCGGGCCCTACCGCGTCAACGAAACACTCAGCTTGGTCTCGGTCACCATACCCATCATCAACAACACGTCCAACATCGACACCCTAGGATGGCTGACGGCTGTGCTGGATGCGTCGCTTATTACCAATGTTGTCAACGCCATGGAGGGTCTAGACAACAGTGGCCTTACCCTGCTGTTCGGCCCCAACAACGCCACGAACACCTTTCCTCCGGCATATCTGTACGACGCCGATACTCCCAACGCTCCCGAGAACGTACAGGTTCGCTACCTCGCCCCACCAACACAGCGAGCAAAGGTGCAACGGCACGGCCAATACGACACTTCTCTTGATCCGCCTCCATTCGACTGGGCAAGATA